ATCAAGGTCTGGTTTCTTAGTTAAGTATACAGTTGCACTCGTGGTTGCCTCATTTTTTGAAACAGTGCACAATATTTCTCCAACAATATTTAACTTGCCACCAGATGCGCTGTGTGCTAGTTGCTTCGTTTGGTGAACTGTAGGTTTTCCAATTTTGTTTTTGGACTCATAAGGGTGATGTCAGATGCTGTGTCAAGTTGAAGACGAATACGGTGTGAATTCATATCCAAAGTCACATACTTTCTTCTGTGGTGAAACCCTGTCTGGTTATGAGACACCAATACTCGGTTTATTGGCTTACCAGAACTATATTTCTTGGAATCAACTTTCGCGGAGTAATGTCTGCTAGTTTTTGTCCTACATCGGGTTTCTTTGTGACCCTTTTTGTGACATGTAGTGCAAACATAATCTTTGTACGGACAAAACTTCTTGTAGTGCAAACCTGCACATGACCAGCATGGAGATGAGGGCTGGTTGTCTGTGCTCTTGTGATGCTTTTGTGAGCCGGAATTTTTCTTTTCACTTACGGCATGCACGTATGATGTACGGCCATTGTTTTCGATCATGGAGATATCATGCTTCAAATTTACTAATCTCTGGCACTCTGAAGTTATTTCTTGAAGCGAGATGTTTGGGCACTGCTCAATATTACTTAGGATTCTGGTTCTTATATCAGCATCTTCGGGAGATTCTAAGCTGCAAACCAACACAAGCACTTATACTGGTCTTCCGTCATTGATGATAATTTAAATCGTTCGCATTCCCGATTTACTAAGCCGGCGTGCTTTACCAAGTCATCTTCATTTGAATCTTGTGCAAGAATGCTAAAAATAGTCACTGTGATAATAATAATAATGACAATAACTTTTTCTCTAATAACAACATGTTACAAGAGTCATGTGAATTTGCTGGCTAAAACGCCTGAAATATTTTCTGTAATAGGTTGTTTCTTAAGATACATTGTTATCTCACAGGTGGCTTACGTTTACGGCATAAATTTACAGATAACGATTCTGCAATGTACAATACAATAGTAGGCGCCAGTTACGACCAATGCGTTGTGACAAACCACTCACTGCTGGTTGAAAACGAGTGCACCGTACATGCAGGTGTGAGAATTGTGATGATACTTACTTACTTACTTACGCCTGTTACCCCCAATAGAGCATAGGTCACCCACCAGTTTTCTCCAACCAACTCTGTCCTGGGCTTCTCTTTCCAGTTCTGTCCAATGTTTGTTCATTCCTCTCATATCTTTCTCTATTTCTCGGCGTAATTTATTCTTTGGCCTTCCTCTTTTCCTTTTGCCTTGAGGGTTCCATGTGAGGGCTTGTCTCGTGACGCAGTTAGGTGCTTTCCGTAATGTGTGTGCTATCCACTTCCACCGCTTCTTCCTGATTTCCTCCTCCACTGGAATCTGGTTTGTTCTCTCCCACAGTTCGTTGTTGCTGATCGTGTCTGGCCACCGATAACGAAGTATTTTGCGTAGACAACTGTTAATAAACACTTGTATCTTCTGGATGATGGCTTTGGTAGTTCTCCATGTTTCCGCTCCATACAGTAGAACTGTCTTGACATTTGTATTGAAAATCCTGATTTTGGTTTTGTTTGCAAGTTGTTTGGAGTTCCAGATAATTTTCAATTGTAGAAATGCAGCCCTTGCTTTGCCAATCCGCGCCTTCACATCTGCATCGGATCCACCTTTCTCGTCGATGATGCTGCCCAGATATGTAAAGGCGTTAACGTCCTTCAAAGCATCTGCATCAAGAGTGACTTGGTTGGTGCATGTTGTGTTGCATCGGAGAATTTCGCTTTTTCCTTCATGTATGTTGAGACCTACTGCTGCACCGGCTGCTGCTATATTGGTCGTCTTCTCTTGCATTTGTTGTTGAGTGTGCGATAGAAGAGCAAGGTCATCTGTGAAGTGCAGATCGTCCAGCTGCGTCCTAACTGTCCAGTTGATACCGTGCTTCCCTCCAGATGTTGACGTCTTCATAATCCAGTCGATGACCAGGAGAAAGAGAAAGGGTGAGAGTAAGCAACCTTGCCTCACACCGGTCTTGACCTCAAAGGAGTCTGTTAGCTGTCCATCGTGTACGATTTTGCAGTTGAATCCATCATAAGAATTCCGTTTGATGTTAACTATTTTCTCAGGCACCCCGTAGTGACGAAGAAGCCTTCACAGCGTTTTCCTATCCACGCTATCGAATGCTTTCTCGTAGTCGATGAATTTGATGTAGAGTGGTGAGTTCCATTCAATTGATTGTTCCACAATGATCCGTAATGTAGCAATTTGGTCAGTACATGATCGATCCTTACAAAATCCAGCCTGTTGATCTCGAAGCTGGGCGTCTACGAAGTCCTTCATTCTGTTTAACAATACCCTGTTGAAGACTTTGCCTGGTATTGAAAGAAGAGTGATGCACCTGTTCTCACACTTGCTGAGATAGCCTTTCTTTTGTATTTTGATCAGGTATCCTTCTTTCCAATCTGATGGTACTTATTGGTACTTGATGGTACTTGTGCGATAACTTTCTCAGCTCTTGTTCGGCTGACATTGATTAGTGCCTTCTTGTTCCTCCTTTCTTCAATTTTTGCGAGAGTATCAACAGAGATCCATTCCTTGTGATGGTACTTCTTGTGACCCAGAACTTCGTGACATGTTGAAGTGTTTGCCTCCTTAATCCCTTTCCAATTGTTCTCCAATGTGGCTTCCTTTCCATTGAGTATATCGTGCAAGGCCTGGAACCTATTGGTGAGGGCTATCCTGAATTCGTTGAGCTTTACAGTATCCCGAAGAAAGGCGGTAATAAACTTGTGCGATGTTGTCTGCCACGTTGTCCAGTGCTTCTTTAGTTTCAGTTTCATTTTGTCGATTAGCAAATGGTGATCTGAGTCTATATCAGCTCCTCTCCTGGTTCTCACATCCTCCATAGTCCTTCTGAACGTTTTATTGATACAGATATGATCAATCTGGTTTTGAGTAGTGTGATCCGGTGAAATCCATGTAGCTTTGTGTATGCGTTTGTGCGGGAATATTGTGCCACCGATGACCAGTTTGTTGAAGGCACATAGGTTTGCAAATCTCTCACCGTTTTCGTTGCTTTCTCCTAGTCAATGTCGTCCCGTGATGTCTTCATATCCAGTGTTTTCCATTCCAACCTTGGCATTCAGGTCTCCCATAAGAATCGTCAAATCCTTTGGTGAACACTTCTGGACGATTGACTGCAGCCTTTCGTAGAATTGATCTTTAACGTCGTCATTGTAGTCGTTGGTAGGTGCATAACATTGGATGACGTTCATTGTAATGTCCTGTTTCTTTGTTTTGAAAGATGCTGTAATGATCCATGGTCCATGAGACTCCCATCCTATCAGTGCCTTTTGTGCATGTTTGGACAGCATCAGTGCAACTCCTTGTGTATGTGGAGCATTTTCCTCTTCATGACCAGAGTATAACAGTAGTTCCCCTGAAGCTAGTCTCAGTTGTCCTACCTGTGTCCAATGCGTTTCACTGATGCCGAGCTCCTCGAGGTTGTATCTTTTCATTTCTGCCGCAACTTGAAATAGTCTTCCAGTCTCCCACAATGTACGAACGTTCCATTTACCTAAAAAATGGTTGCTCTGGATGTCAGTAGAGGCATCAGCCCCGTGACTTAGTAGGGAACTCGGCTATCATCACGCGACGTCATAATTCTTCCTTCAACTCCCAGGGCAGAGTTAAAATGGTTTGAATTATTTTTTCTGGTCAGCGTTTTTTTGGCAAGTTAGTTTTTGACGGAATGGGTTCGCCAACCCCATGTCCAACGCTCCTCATTTACCCGGGCTTGGGACCGGCAGTAGCCCCTAAGGTTTTACTGGTGGAGTAGAATTGTGAGGATGGATGAGGTAAATTTGCAAAGATCTTGTCGTCGCGATTCATCAGTCTTCTACTAACTATAGTGACCGAATGATCGATAATCACAGAGGGAGGCGATTACATGAGCAAAAGTAATAAAAGTAAAGTGTGAGAAGTAGGATGAAAAAATGTTCGTGTATAGAGCTGAGACATGACTGAGAAAATAATAATGCTGCATTGAACTGAGGTACAAAAAATCAATCCTTACATTTTGTGTATTAGAACACTAGTTAGACACCTGAACATATTATGGTTAACAAAGCAAATTCACTGTTCCCATAACGAGTGTGTAAATAATCTTATGAATAGACGAAATTCAAAAGAACTTAATTGTTAGAAATAATGTTGAGTAACAGAATACAATAATGAAGGCACTGTGATCTGATGATTGAGCATGGTTCGTTTATTGTTATTTTATTGTCAGTTATAAATACATCTGAATTCATTGTTACCGTTAGCCACACACTATCAGAATCAACCTAATGTTGTGCGTATCTTCAGTTGGTTATTGCAGCATCTCAGTTGATATGCACTCGTGGACTTGTATCCATGTTCGTTTATTTATTAGTAAGATTCAACAGATACAGGTTGGCGTCATACACAGAAGTTGAATAACTCTTTAATAATACGGTGAGTGTTCAAGTGAAAGATAACCACTCACTGCTGGTTGAAAACGAATGCACCGTAGATGCAGGTGTGCGAAATGTGAGGATCCATTAGGTTATATTGTACAGGTCGTCCAGTTGCGAATCATCAGGCTCCTGCTAACTATAGTGACCGAATCTTCGACTACTTTCGGGTACGGCATTAATTTCAATAGAAGCTTCATGTGCTGAAAACGAGAAAAAAAATGTCGAGGGCCATAGGTTGATAAAACAGTATTACACGAAATGAAATACAACTGGTTCTGCATATGTACTGATATAGCTTTTGTCAACTGAATAGCATAAAAATAACTCAGACTAATTGATTTCGTTTTGCTTTCTTTATTTTTTACCAACGACATTCCTTTATACAACACGAACAAAAGTGGTGAAATGAACAAGGTCAATCAATCTATGTGAGCATGAAAACACCTTGAAATCACTCACATCTCACGATCAATTCACTCATACCTACTACTACTACTACTACTACTACTACTACTACTACTACTACTACTACTACTACTACTAATACTACTACTACTACTACTACTACTACTACTACTACTACTACTACTAATACTACTACTACTGCTAATACTACTACTATGACTATTAGTACTATGATTGAACATTGATTGAATACAGAACAAAACTATCATTTTGAATTCTGAAGAAAAATACAGCAAGAGAAATTATTCAATTGTCCTTACTGATATCACTCTCTCTTCTTCTTTCTTTCTGTCTATGTATATTCAATGAATGCTTTTGATTTGGTCATGAGTAAGTACACTGAAATCAGAAGCCACGCATCAATCAATGTTCATGATCAATGAATAAACGCTTCATTGTAAAATATTTGAAAGTTGAATAACTCTTGAATAATACTGTGAATGTTCAAGTGAAAGATACTAGATTTTGGTGTGACAATGAGGATCAAGCCTGAAATGTCGGTGTTTCCAACTTTGTGGCATTCACAAAAATGACAAAACGCCTATGCTGCATTCATCTGATAATCACATTTTAAACAATCCATTCTTATTCTCCATCACTACAACATATGATATGTTGAATATCATACCAGTGAAACATTCAACACAATATACTACACATTATACTTGTCATTTATACTTTCTACTTTGTACTATGAATGTCACTTAGAAATACATCTCAATTCATTCAGTGTTACCTGAAATGAAATGCAACTCGTTCTGCATATGTACTGATATAGCTTTTGTCAACTGAATAGCATAAAAATAACTCAGAGTAATTGATTTCGTTTTGCTTTCTTTATTTTTTACCAACGACATTCCTTTATACAACACGAACAAAAGTGGTGAAATGAACAAGGTCAATCAATCTATGTGAGCATGAAAACACCTTGAAATCACTCACATCTCACGATCAATTCACTCATACCTACTACTACTACTACTACTACTACTACTACTACTACTACTACTACTACTACTACTATTAATGTGGTGCTGTGGTGCGAACTACTCATAAGTAGTATATAACCTGAGTGTAAACGTAAAGTCTGGTAGCATAATACTGGGGAAGATCAAGAAAGGAATATTTAGAAAACAATGGAATTTGTATCAAACGCATGAATAGTGACAATGGATTGATGTTTGGCAACAGAAACATTTCAGGTCCATAGGATGAAATGATCCTTTGCAAATGAACGATTTACGATATGGTTTTCCGATTTTACTGAGTAACTCTGTAATTTTCGTTAAATACTATTCGGTTTCCCCCACCTTTGTTCTCATTCACTACATTTGGTGTCGCTGCCTGCTCGAAGGAAGGGGTTGCCGTGCCGAAGGAGTTGCAGGACGGAGATTGGCGGAGCTTCCTTGAGGAGTTTGGTGCCACGGTGGAGCTGGTGGGGGCCTGGGGCGGAGTTGACGGTGCTGGGGACGCTGCGGGGAGGTGAGGCGGAGGCGGTACACGACAGCCTGGACGGTGTCCTCGAGGAGACGGCGAGGGAGACGGTCACCGGGCGGCTGATAATGGAGTTCGACAGCCCAGCGGACAGGGAGGGGGCGCCGCAGAGGTTCCGGTTGGCGCGGCTGTCGCCCAATGGTGACCTGTTGGTGCTTGCTGTGGAGCTCACCGGATTGCGCCGTGAGGAGTGGGCGGGGCACAGTCTTTGGCGTCGCAATTTATCGAGTGTGTGCCTGACGCCATGTTCCAGCATCGGGAACTTGTAAACGCTACACGTTGGATAGATGCCATATACATTCCAGACCAGTGATCAAGAACGATGACCGAAGTGGTAATCCGGCATATTGTAGCGTGTCACGGAATACGAAGTTGATATTAACTAACCAGGGGCTCTGCTTTGAAGGACAACGACGACAGCTTATTAAGAGGGGGGACGAGTGTGGTGCTGTGGTGCGAACTACTCATAAGTAGTATATAACCTGAGTGTAAACGTAAAGTCTGGTAGCATAATACTGGGGAAGATCAAGAAAGGAATATTTAGAAAACAATGGAATTTGTATCAAACGCATGAATAGTGACAATGGATTGATGTTTGGCAACAGAAACATTTCAGGTCCATAGGATGAAATGATCCTTTGCAAATGAACGATTTACGATATGGTTTTCCGATTTTACTGAGTAACTCTGTAATTTTCGTTAAATACTATTCGGTTTCCCCCACCTTTGTTCTCATTCACTACATTTGGTGTCGCTGCCTGCTCGAAGGAAGGGGTTGCCGTGCCGAAGGAGTTGCAGGACGGAGATTGGCGGAGCTTCCTTGAGGAGTTTGGTGCCACGGTGGAGCTGGTGGGGGCCTGGGGCGGAGTTGACGGTGCTGGGGACGCTGCGGGGAGGTGAGGCGGAGGCGGTACACGACAGCCTGGACGGTGTCCTCGAGGAGACGGCGAGGGAGACGGTCACCGGGCGGCTGATAATGGAGTTCGACAGCCCAGCGGACAGGGAGGGGGCGCCGCAGAGGTTCCGGTTGGCGCGGCTGTCGCCCAATGGTGACCTGTTGGTGCTTGCTGTGGAGCTCACCGGATTGCGCCGTGAGGAGTGGGCGGGGCACAGTCTTTGGCGTCGCAATTTATCGAGTGTGTGCCTGACGCCATGTTCCAGCATCGGGAACTTGTAAACGCTACACGTTGGATAGATGCCATATACATTCCAGACCAGTGATCAAGAACGATGACCGAAGTGGTAATCCGGCATATTGTAGCGTGTCACGGAATACGAAGTTGATATTAACTAACCAGGGGCTCTGCTTTGAAGGACAACGACGACAGCTTATTAAGAGGGGGGACGAGTGTGGTGCTGTGGTGCGAACTACTCATAAGTAGTATATAACCTGAGTGTAAACGTAAAGTCTGGTAGCATAATACTGGGGAAGATCAAGAAAGGAATATTTAGAAAACAATGGAATTTGTATCAAACGCATGAATAGTGACAATGGATTGATGTTTGGCAACAGAAACATTTCAGGTCCATAGGATGAAATGATCCTTTGCAAATGAACGATTTACGATATGGTTTTCCGATTTTACTGAGTAACTCTGTAATTTTCGTTAAATACTATTCGGTTTCCCCCACCTTTGTTCTCATTCACTACATTTGGTGTCGCTGCCTGCTCGAAGGAAGGGGTTGCCGTGCCGAAGGAGTTGCAGGACGGAGATTGGCGGAGCTTCCTTGAGGAGTTTGGTGCCACGGTGGAGCTGGTGGGGGCCTGGGGCGGAGTTGACGGTGCTGGGGACGCTGCGGGGAGGTGAGGCGGAGGCGGTACACGACAGCCTGGACGGTGTCCTCGAGGAGACGGCGAGGGAGACGGTCACCGGGCGGCTGATAATGGAGTTCGACAGCCCAGCGGACAGGGAGGGGGCGCCGCAGAGGTTCCGGTTGGCGCGGCTGTCGCCCAATGGTGACCTGTTGGTGCTTGCTGTGGAGCTCACCGGATTGCGCCGTGAGGAGTGGGCGGGGCACAGTCTTTGGCGTCGCAATTTATCGAGTGTGTGCCTGACGCCATGTTCCAGCATCGGGAACTTGTAAACGCTACACGTTGGATAGATGCCATATACATTCCAGACCAGTGATCAAGAACGATGACCGAAGTGGTAATCCGGCATATTGTAGCGTGTCACGGAATACGAAGTTGATATTAACTAACCAGGGGCTCTGCTTTGAAGGACAACGACGACAGCTTATTAAGAGGGGGGACGAGTGTGGTGCTGTGGTGCGAACTACTCATAAGTAGTATATAACCTGAGTGTAAACGTAAAGTCTGGTAGCATAATACTGGGGAAGATCAAGAAAGGAATATTTAGAAAACAATGGAATTTGTATCAAACGCATGAATAGTGACAATGGATTGATGTTTGGCAACAGAAACATTTCAGGTCCATAGGATGAAATGATCCTTTGCAAATGAACGATTTACGATATGGTTTTCCGATTTTACTGAGTAACTCTGTAATTTTCGTTAAATACTATTCGGTTTCCCCCACCTTTGTTCTCATTCACTACATTTGGTGTCGCTGCCTGCTCGAAGGAAGGGGTTGCCGTGCCGAAGGAGTTGCAGGACGGAGATTGGCGGAGCTTCCTTGAGGAGTTTGGTGCCACGGTGGAGCTGGTGGGGGCCTGGGGCGGAGTTGACGGTGCTGGGGACGCTGCGGGGAGGTGAGGCGGAGGCGGTACACGACAGCCTGGACGGTGTCCTCGAGGAGACGGCGAGGGAGACGGTCACCGGGCGGCTGATAATGGAGTTCGACAGCCCAGCGGACAGGGAGGGGGCGCCGCAGAGGTTCCGGTTGGCGCGGCTGTCGCCCAATGGTGACCTGTTGGTGCTTGCTGTGGAGCTCACCGGATTGCGCCGTGAGGAGTGGGCGGGGCACAGTCTTTGGCGTCGCAATTTATCGAGTGTGTGCCTGACGCCATGTTCCAGCATCGGGAACTTGTAAACGCTACACGTTGGATAGATGCCATATACATTCCAGACCAGTGATCAAGAACGATGACCGAAGTGGTAATCCGGCATATTGTAGCGTGTCACGGAATACGAAGTTGATATTAACTAACCAGGGGCTCTGCTTTGAAGGACAACGACGACAGCTTATTAAGAGGGGGGACGAGTGTGGTGCTGTGGTGCGAACTACTCATAAGTAGTATATAACCTGAGTGTAAACGTAAAGTCTGGTAGCATAATACTGGGGAAGATCAAGAAAGGAATATTTAGAAAACAATGGAATTTGTATCAAACGCATGAATAGTGACAATGGATTGATGTTTGGCAACAGAAACATTTCAGGTCCATAGGATGAAATGATCCTTTGCAAATGAACGATTTACGATATGGTTTTCCGATTTTACTGAGTAACTCTGTAATTTTCGTTAAATACTATTCGGTTTCCCCCACCTTTGTTCTCATTCACTACATTTGGTGTCGCTGCCTGCTCGAAGGAAGGGGTTGCCGTGCCGAAGGAGTTGCAGGACGGAGATTGGCGGAGCTTCCTTGAGGAGTTTGGTGCCACGGTGGAGCTGGTGGGGGCCTGGGGCGGAGTTGACGGTGCTGGGGACGCTGCGGGGAGGTGAGGCGGAGGCGGTACACGACAGCCTGGACGGTGTCCTCGAGGAGACGGCGAGGGAGACGGTCACCGGGCGGCTGATAATGGAGTTCGACAGC